TGAGAGTATCTGAAATGACTTGGAGGGACGTACACAGACCGAGATGGAACTAAGGTAAACCATCACTGCCTTGGAGTGCAGACTTATGGAGACTTTGAGTACTATCAATGTTATAAAGGCAAAGATATAGTCACTCGAGGATCATGTCGACGCTGGCGTGACTGAGCTGACCAGCAATGTTGTGGTAATGAGTGAGGCCAAGATCAAGGCTCCCAAACCCCCGATGTTCAAAGGTGTTCGTGATGTATAAGAAGTGGAAAACTTCCTATGGCACTTAGAGAACTACTTCAGGCACGCAAAGTGAGGGACGACGAGGCCAAGATCAACAATGTCATGTTGTACCTCTTAGATACTGCCATGCTATGGTGGAGAAGGAAGATGGCCGGCGTGGATAAAGGTCTATGTACTATTAGCACGTGGGATCAGTTCAAAACCGAGTTCAAGCGACAGTTCTTTCCAAACAATATCTTGTACGAGGCAAGGTGCAAACTTAGAGAGTTGAAGCAAACATGGAGCATACGTGACTATGTCAAGGAGTTCACCACCCTTATGTTTCAAATCCCCAACCTGACCAATGATGACTTATTGTTCCACTTCATGGATGGGTTGCAAAATTGGGCTAAATAGGAGTTGCAACACCGGCAAGTCGCGGATATAGACCAAGCCATAGTGGAGGCTAAATCATTGATGAATTTCAGGCATGACAAGCACAACAAAGACAAAGGCAAGGAGTTAAAGGTTAGCAATGTCAAAGGTGGGGGAGACCGTGGCAAAGGCAAGGAGATACAACAACAATACTCCAAGACTCAAGATTCCAAAAAGTCGAGTGGCTATCAGGGCTACACCGAGAAGAAGGCGCATGCCGAGAAAAAGGGATGCTACATATGCGGAGGGTCGCACGACTTTAGGAATTGTCCCAACCTAAAGAGCATCAGCGCCATAATCCGTGAACGGAAGGAGCAGCCACAAGGAGAGAGTTTGGGAACCGCACAGTTGGGTATGATCAGATTATGTAGTGATGTCACAAATCAAGCTATCCAACCTACCGATAATGGCAATCAGTATGAGGATCTCACCATCAACACCAAGCCCGCTCATGCAATGGTGAATACTGGAGCAACTCATAATTTTGTGACTGAGGCTGCTGCAAAGAGATTAGAATTGAAGCTTGATCCAACTAACTCTTGCGTCAAGATCGTGAATGCCGAGGTACAGAATGCTCGTGGGGTAGCTAATGGAGTTGGTGTCAAATTGGGAACTTGGAAAGGTATGACAAACTTTACAATAACACATATGGATATCTTTGACATCATATTGCGACAAGAGTTCTTTAGACGTTTCCATACCTTGATTGACCCTTACCTCTAACGTCTCTTGGTTATGGAGCGAGAAGGTTCTTGCATGGTACCTACAGTGACTATGCCATACGGATAGAGCCAAGCACAACTTTCAACTATGCAGGTTGTCAAAGGGATCAAAAAGGGGGAGCCGACATTCGTGGCAACCATTGCAAATCTGGAGGAAGACAAGGGTTTTCAAGAGACAGTGCCGCCTTGCATAGAGAAGTTACTTGAGGAAAACAAAGATGCCATGCCCGAGGAGTTGCCTAAGCACTTGCCGCCTAGGCGAGAGGTGGATCACAATTTTGAGTTGGAGCCGGGGGCTAAGCCACCCTCATTTTCCCAATATCGTATGGCACCGCCTGAGCTAGAGGAACTCAGGAAACAATTGAAAGAGCTGCTAGATGCTGGCCACATTCGCCCATCAAAGGCACCTTTCGGCGCACCAGTATTGTTCCAGAAGAAGAAGAATGGATCATTGCGCTTATGTATTGACTACCGAGCACTTAATAAGGTCATCGTGAATAATAAGTACTCAATCCCCCTCATTGTTGACTTGTTCGATAGACTTTGGCAAGCCAAGTACTTTACCAAGGTGGATCTTCGCAAGGGCTACTATCAAATTCGCATTGCAGAAGGGGATGGGCCGAATACAACATGTGTGACGAGATATGTAGCCTTTGAGTGGTTGGTGATGCCTTCGGCTTAACCAATGCACCGGCCACATTTTGCACCCTTATGAACAAGATTTTCCATCCCTACCTTGATCAGTTCTTGGTAGTCTCAACAACACCTTGGAGGAGTACATGGAGCACTTAAGGAAGGTTTTCCATGTCTTGCGGGAGAACGAGCTATACATCAAGAGGGAGAAATGTGAGTTAGCACAATCAAATGTGCACTTCTTAGGCCATGTCATTAGCAATGGCGAGCTACGCATGGACGAGGCTAAGGTACGTGCTATCCAGGAGTGGGAGGCACATATAAAGGTAAACTCAGTTGAGATCCTTCCTTGGCCTTGTTAACTACTATCGTCGGTTCATCAGTGGCTACTCATCAAAGGTCGCACCATTGGCTGAGTTGCTAAAGAAGAACAGCCATGGGTTTGGACAGAGCATTGTCAAAAGGCATTTGAAGGCCTTAAGGCAGCTGTAACAGAGGAGCCAGTCTTGGCGTTACCTGACTTTGCCAAGACATTTGAGGTGCATACAGATGCCTCAGACTTTGCCATTGGGGGTGTCTTGATGCAGGCTAAGCATCTCATAGCATTTGAGAGCCGCAAGTTAAATGAGACGGAGCAGCGTTACACGGTGCAAGAGAAGGAGATGATTGTCACTGTGCATTGCCTTCGTACATGGCAACATTATTTGCTCGGGTCGAGGTTCGTGGTCAAGACTGACAATGTGGCTACTAGCTACTTTTAGACGCAGAAGAAGCTCACACCAAAATAGGCTAGGTGGCAGGATTTCTTGGCCGAGTTTGATTATGTGATGGAGTATAAGCCGGGTAAAGGTAACATTGTAGCCGATGCCTTGAGCCAGAAAACCGAGCTTGCTGCCATCACTTCAGCAAGTTATGACATTCGTGAGGCTGTAAAAGAAGGCATGCAACATGATCCATTAGCCAAACAACTTATCGAGTTAGCTAACTAGGGCAAGACGAGACGTTTTTAGGTAGAAGACGGTTTATTGCTTACCACGGGTCGGCGGGTCTACGTGCCTAAGTTTGGAGACATTAGACAGCGGATCATAAGGGAGAGTCATGACACAATGTGGGCTGGTCATCCAGGCCAACGTCGCACTAGGGCTTTGGTTGAGTCAGTCTACTATTGGCCACGCATGCGAGATGACATAGAGTGTTATATGCAGACATGTCTTGTGTGTCAACAGGACAAGGTTGAGTAACAGCAACCTGGAGGACTTTTGGAGCCACTACCAGTTGCAGAGCGTCTATGGGAGAGCGTGACTATGGACTTTATCACTTGCCTACTGAAGTCTGACGGTTATGGTACTATTATGGTGGTCGTGGATAGATTTTCCAAATATGCCAGCTTCATGCCCGCCTCACCAGGTTGCACAGCCAAGGAAGCCGCCAAGCTATTCTTTAAGAACGTGGTGAAGTATTGGGGCTTACCAAGGCATATTATCAATGATCGAGACCCATGTTTCACTGGAATTTTTGGAGAGAGTTATTCGACTTACTTGGCACAGAACTGCACTTTTCCACTAGTTTCCACCCACAAACGGATGGACAAAGGGATCAATGCCTTACTGGAATACTACTTGAGGCATTATATATAGTGCACATCAGAAAGATTGGGCAAGGCTCCTGGACATCTCCCAATTCTCGTATAACTTGCAGCGGAGTAAGTCCACAGGGAAGACACCATTTGAGCTAGCCACAGGCCAACAACCACAAATTCCACATTCATTACCAGCCGCGTTCGAGGGAAAGAGTTTGGGGGCTTATCATAAGGCTAGAGGATGGGAGGAGCAGCTTGACACTACTAAGTCCTACTTGGACAAGGCATCTAAGCAGATGAAGAAGTTTGCGGACCGTAAGTGACGCCCTAGGGATTATAGAGTTGGGGACATGGTCATGGTGAAGTTTAACCCAAGATAGTTCAAGGCACTATAGGGCATGCATCAGAATCTGATTCGCAAGTATGAGAGCCATTTAAGATCGTCGCCAAGGTAGGCAAGATCTCATACAAGCTTGACATGCCATCGTATCTTAAGATCTACCATGCCTTCCATGCCAGCATGTTTAAGCCATATCATGAAGACAAGGATGATCCGAGCAGGGGCCAATCAAGTCGAGCGCCTATTACTATCACCGCCTCGCATGATTGGGAGATTGAGGCTATCATTGATTACCAGGCCAGGCGAAAACAAGGGCAGAAAGCCACCGCTATGTTCCTCATCCATTGGAAGGGGCAATCACTGGAGGAGGCCACGTGGGAACGATACGAAGACTTATGGCAATTAAAAGATAAGATCCGAGAGTTTATGCAGCAGCATTGCGCCGCGGTCGTCGCAATATTAGGTGGGGGAAAGTGTGATGACCCGCCATATCATCATGCCACATAGGTGCCATTTGGCATATATTAATGCCATGTGGAAGCTTACATAGGAGAAAGGCTAGCATTTGTGAGAAGATTCTAGAGAAGTATGAACATTTCCTGTGAAAGACCCTAGATCCTTATGGATTTGTTAGGAAAGTCATTGGAATCTTCTAGGTTTGTAGAGAATTTTAGATAAAGCCATTATCTTGTAAATATTAAGGACTTGTGTAACAATTAATATTTACACACTAGCCCCTAGGAAACTAGTATATAAAGATGGTCATTTATTTGTAATTCACCAAGCAAACAATTCAAGTTCTCTCTAATACAAAGCTTCATTTAACAATTATCTTGTGTTCTTTCTAATATTTTCTTAGCGATCTTGAGTATAGTAAGACTACCTTGGCATAGCAAAAACGTGAGCAAATTATGTAAAATCGTGAACGAATTGTTAAGTGTCGCACGTGTGTACTTAGTTAACGACTAAGGACGTGACAATAAGGCGGGACAATGAGATTCTCAGCAATGGAGGGGCAAATAAGATTTGTGGGCCATGGAAGGGTTGGCGTTTCGAGTGAAATAGTTGATTCTACGTTCACTGTAAATAAATTTATAATCTAGGCTATTCTACAGTAACCAGATACAAGAGTTTATCAACGGCAGACGCGAACAAGTCAGTAGTCAGTATTAAGGTACAGCTTAGTGAAAATGTCGAAAAAAATTGCCGCCTCAGAGGAAGAAATGAGAAATTTGAATGAATCATGATACAAATTAGAAAGAACAAAAAATTGAATAAACATTCACAGGAGTCAAACAAAGGTTAAGAACCATTTTTGGTTCAATAAAATCACGAGCTCTCCACTCGACTTCGTTTTGCAGAAATATGACCATTTTCTTTTGATGTGTTGTCCAGCACTGCAGTATTATCCTCATCCTTCAATTTGAAAGTCCAACCCGGAAAATCTGACTCCGAAAATAACTTAGCTGGAGTTGCTGTGTAGAACGCAAGGGGAACCTGTTTAACTCGTCTCCTAATCTGCAACATAAGTATTAATGTTAGAATGCCATTACATGGAACATTAACGGATACAATAAAAGGCAGCAGATGGCCAGCATACAATGAGACAGGGAGTTAAAAATGCTTAAACCAGCAAAAGGAATGTCAAAAACCTAAAATACTAGAAGAGATTTAATCCAAAATGAATTCAAAAGAGAAATAGAAAAGCAACTAAGGCCAAGCGAGAAACTTCATTGGTTAAAGAAGCAAACATAATAGTGAAGATGGTATGTCAACCAATTGCAGCAAATTTAAAAAATAAAAAATAAAAAGTGTTGTCAACCAATAAGTGGATGATTAAAACCAAAACAAATATAGTTACATAATGAGCATTACCTCGTCACCAAAAATCGTCGCATATGAACCAGAACTAAAATCTTTGACTGCCACTTCAGTAGTTTTAGCTCTGATCGTCAAATCATTCTCAAGGGATAAAACAAATCTAACACATGAAAGAAAAAAGGAAGACTTAGTTGAAAAGCACAATTGAACTAACCAGAAATGCATATTAACACAGCGAAAACTATAATTATCATACCTTGAAACCGGCGGGCAGTAGTGACGACGGAGAGTGTCAACCTCCCATAGAGAGCTCCCTGTGGAATGAGAATTTAACACATCACCTTTGCCAAGAATATTGTTTTAAACAAGGAAATCAAAACTTTACACTGAGGAAGCGCCCACTTTTATACCTTACAAATATCCCAATAACCAAAACATTTCAAATGACTAAAGCAAAAACACTGGGATTGAAGGTCCAGAAAACTTAACATCCACCTAAAGTTACAGCTAATAAACAAAAGTTGAAATGCCAAAAGAAAATTATTCTCAACACAATTGCAAAGGTATGTATCTAAGAAAGGCCAAGTAATTCCTTGGCCACCCCTTTTCACCCAAAGAAGATAGAAAAGTATTCTCAGCCGGAAAAAAAAAATTAAAAATAATAATAATAACAAACGAATAAATAGACAAGTACCAATTTGAGTTGACTTGGGACTTTGAAAAGCCCTTTAACTGATTAGAAAGAAAAAAGGAGATGGCAAAATGCTTGACACTACACTGGTTGAATGACTGGAGCTTACAGTTGTAAAGTCTTGCCAATGCCTTTTCAACTCAATTAGAAAGAAACAAGAAGAGATATAGGAGAAATGCATGAGCTGTGACAGCTAATGATTGAACTTAATAAATACGGCAANACTGACAGCTGAATGATTGAACTTTAGAAGTACGGCAACTCATGAAACAAGAAAATTACTCATTGCGTTAGCCTTCAACGGATCAGTCTGCTTGTCATCAAAAAGATCAATGCCAGGATTGATGTTTGATATTTCTCTGCTGGCACTGGAGTCCTCGATGCTGTCATCAGTCTCCCTCTCTGCTTCTGTAATGTCTTTCGTAGTCTCATCACCATCCTCCTACAAAGAATTTTATCTCAAATATATGCTTTTGATCCTCTAGAGGCATGAATGGAACACTTGTACAATTTTAACAGTAGTAAGGAAGCAGGCAGAAAACTTTACTATGACATTTTCCAGCCAGAAATGGTTTGCACTTTTGAGTGTCATCCAACAAAAATAACTATTCCTCAATCCCAAACTAGTTGGGGTCAACTATATGAATGTTGTACATCCATCCCACTCTATTTAGATCTGTTTCACTCCACTACTAAATAGTTTGTCATTTGCACGAACTAGCGGGCTCTAAGTTTCACCTTATCTCCTCACTGTCCCACATAGATACGGCATCTCAAAGAATGACTTCAGCAGAAAAAAGGGCAAGACCCCATAGTCTTACCTGGTGCACCAAGCAATTTATTGAAGGATGTCTCCTTAAGAGATTATGAATTAGAGCAACAATGACTAATGCTCCTGAAGGAGGGACAGCGAGCGAAAGCCGACTGAGTTTTTTACAAAATGCAGCCGCCAAATATGCAGGAAGAAGTGGTGATCTCAGGCACGAATCAAGAAGCTGCAAGTAACATTTTGCAGTTAGTGTCCATAAACATAATAACTAGATCTACCATATTACAGCATACTGAAAAAGATATTCCATCAAAATCAATAAAGTAAATTATTTGACAAGTAAATGATATTGTACTGACAGCTTCTGAACATTTTATTGCTCAGGAATCAGCTGAATTTTCAATGAGCAATACACAAAAATATCACATAGTTCAGATATCTCTTTTTTCTGCTTGATAACATCAGTTCAGTATGCATACTTGATAGAAGCAATGACGAAACTACGATGAACATTATGAACCTGAAAGAGCAGACTTCAACTTCCCAAACTACAGAAATGACAGTTATCCAATTAAAACCATATGCAGAAAACGTAGCATATGCAGAACATTTCCAAGAGAGATTGTGGTTGCTTGCGTTTTAATTGTACTCTTCAGGAAAACATCACTTACAAGTAGACAGTAATTAACACTTCCATGGAAGTGTACAACAAAAGATACATTTCATTTCGGCCGAAAGCACTTGCACTCGGGGAAATTCATGTTACATATGGGAGATATATAGCAGCTTAAGTCAATCAGCACTTAAACCAAAACCTACTAAGCATAAATTATAATCCCCCAAAACAGACATGATAGTCTGATAGTCCGAATAGTAAACCAATACAAAGAGGGGAAAGCAAAGTTTTTGATATTACCTGAAAGAACTTAGCCCTATGCTTTGCCATAAAAATGGAGGGTTCCAATAAAGCATAAAGCTTTTCATAGAAGTTGGGGTATTCAAGACCATGTTGTGTCATGAGAACAAACAAGCTGCTAAGAGCCATCACACTGACTACCCCTCCAATATCATATGACCGTGTTAAGAAATCACTGCATATGAAAAGGTACTGCAGTCACTCAACAAGGATTATCAAGTCTGAAAGAATAGAATTAGTACAAGAACAAGAAAAAAGTACAACGTATTACCACAACATGAGAGGATTAGACAGATACGGAATAACTACTTGATGAAGGTTCACCAGAACCTGAGATCAGAAAGCAAAAGAGAATGGTATAGAAGCGATATCGTCATAACTATCGTGTTTCAGGAGTAAAAAAAACAGAATTTAATAACAAAAGCTTGCTTGGGAGTAATCAAGAATTCATTACCTTATAAACAAAAGAATAGGTAGACGGTACCAGCAAAGGAGTTACAGATGCAAAAATGAAAATTTTACTACCACTTCAACCAAATCTTTTAGAGGATCTAAAGCAGAATTAAATGTGAAATAGATTTACTCCACCGTCTCATAATTTTTCCCCCATCAAAGGCTGGTTGAGGTTGTTCAAAGCCATATTTACATAAAATTTCACAACTTTGCACAGTTTCATCATAAAAATACATTCATGAAATATGCTAGTATCATATAGAGGGACTATTAGCCATAGGACGAATATCTATGTCTTCACTTAAACATGCTCTGCACTGTAAAACTTTAAAGGTCAAATCAAAATCAAGTGTAATATGACAGCATCACTTACCACAACTTGAATCAAGAGATACCGGATAAGAAGAGAAAGAGCAGAGATCATAAGAAGTACAAAAGACAATACAAGCACAACACCTTGTTCCAACAGATAAAATGGATATCCAGCCAATGGAACTGTTTATTTACCTCTTTGTAAACATCAATAGGAAGTGGTAATCTAAGGAATGATATCCAGGCTTTAGTAAATTTCAGTTTCATCTTTTTTGCAATATTGGCTGGAGATAAAACCTGAAGATTACAAAGTACTTAAAACATTAGCTTGCATGAAAACGCAAAGAATCAGCAGATGTCCTTAAAGAACAATCCAACAATGTGCGGTACACAGAGGAAAATGTCCTTTTTTCTTCATTTTTTTTAAATATCACAAGGTGTTTCACTAGATACCTTGATATTAGAGGATTCATCCTTGCATTGCTTTCCGCTATGTCCTTTGTCATTCTCTTTCCCAGCAAATATACCTAAATCCACGTAAATATAAGATCACAGCAAAGAGAGGCAATAAGACACAAACATTTAGTATAGGACATATTGCAATCATTGCAAAGAAAATGATACGAACAGCTTGCTTTAAGTCTGAAATTGTAAGAACTAAAAACTGCTAAAACTGAAATTGGACAATCCTGCCTAAGGGATATTTCAAAAATCAAAATCAAATAGAGTGATATATGCATCTTATATGTATCGTAGCTATGTATTCGGGTATTATAAAAAATATAATGTGAAGCCATTTGTGCAGGTTCTCTGCCTTTCAGAATACAGCTTGTATATGAGATTTCCCCATAATTAGTATATTTATTTACCTTATCCGAAAGAAAACAATGTGAGGCATTTAATCTAGAAAGATTTGATCTTTCATCAAACTACGAGCTTTGGATTTTAGTAGCTAGGTTAATAAGAGAGAGGATTCTAATTAAGAGGCTCACCAAACTTCCTAGTTCCCAAAGTTCTGCTTCCAACTACCGATGAGAAAGCTTGGACGTATAGCAATTATCCTAGACAACAACAACAACAACCCAGTAAAATCCCACTAGTGGGGTCTGGGAAAGGTAGTGTGTACGCAGACCTTACCCCTACCCAAAGGGAGTAGAGAGGTTATTCCCGATAGACTCTCGGCTCAAGAAAACGAAAAGAGGCAATATATCAGTACCATCAACGAAAACCATAAAAAAATAACAGCATCACAAGAACCACAAAATAGATGAAAAGCAAAACAATAACCAATAAATAAGACCCCGCACTATGAAAAACGGAAGAGTAGTGTGAACACAACATTTACCACTAGCAGTCTAAGACAAAATCCTATCATACTAGCCTCACTCTGGTACGAAGTAGAAATATGCTCAACTACCTCCTAACCTACAACCTTAATACTCGACCTCCACAGTTTTCTATCAAGAGTCATGTCCTCGGTAATCTCAAGCCACGCTATGTCCTGCCTGATCACCTCTGCCCAATACTTCTTAGGCCGCCATCTACCTGTTCTCGTACCTACCAAAGCCAGCCGCTCACACCTCCTAGACAACAAACGAAATTAAACCCAAAAAAATTGAAATACCACAAAGACCAAGCTGAAATGGTTGTTTGTTTCTTTTCCTTCAACTACTTCTCGTAATAAAATTCTTTTGGACAATCAAGAGTCATTTTATCCTTTCAATCTATTGGGAGCTCAAATACCAATATTAGACGAGGATTGCTACTACCTTTTCCGATGAAACCCTACTGAGATTGCTATTTCCCATAAAGCCAATAGAACGGATACATTATGTAGGCACATGATAAAAGAAACACCTTTTTTTAAAACAGAGGGCTAAAAGCGCGTACACTCAAAATGCAATCAAACAAAAATACCTCAAACTCAAACAAGTTGGGGTCTACCATATAAATCCACTATTGTCCATTTTGGTTTATTAGACCCATATATTCTATTCAGAGGATTCATCATAATTAGATTGTTTTACCCAGATCGTCAACCCATCACAACCCCCACCCTTTATACGGTCTTCAGACCGACTTACTTCGGAAACTATATAAAGCAAAACAAAAATTGCAAATACCCGAATTCGGTTCAGATGTAGGATACCTATCCAGAAGTTTTCGCAACTCAATCATAGATGATGGAATCATCAAAAATTTGACCTTTTCGAATCTTTTCAATCCATAATAACAGTTGACATACATTGGTAAAAACTTACAAAAAATTATTTGTTCGCAAGAAGTGATTGAACAACAACAATTAGCAAAAACAACATTTGCAAAGATCCGTTGTGAAATTTGCTAGGACAAACATTCTTCCATATATCAAAAGCAGATGTTAAATACAGATGAAGCACTAAGTCAGGATTCAACAATTGGTTAAGTTACTAACCTGCACCATTCCACATATCATATTCTGATTTGCCATCTGAACCTTCCAGAGGAGGGATACGAGAGAGTAGATGATATAACTTGTGAGTTGAGAGGGCCAAGCTTTAAATTAAATCAAGAAAAGCAAAGTTAAAAAAGGAGAATGTTGAGTACAACATTTGGACACTAAAAACTAGAACTTCCTGGGTATTGACTAAAAGGAAGAATTGCTTCTATAAGTTGAAAAGAGATGTGGCACACTGAACCAAAAGAAAAAACCATCATAAAAATTGACTAGCAAAGTATTTAATATGCAGTAGAGTTTAGAAACATTTCAGGAGAAGGATTAAAAAGAAAAGACTTCTACAGTAAACTAAATAGTTAGAAAAATATCCTGAATCTAAAAAGGTGATAAAACACAGTGTACAAAGCCAAAAATAAATTTAAAAAAAAAAACTTGAACAGCTTGCCAAAGCAACATTTTCCAAATCTCTAAGTTCTGCAAATACTGTGTCATGAAGATAAACTTGGCAAATACTATAATTTAGCTGATCCTTTGTCAGACCTACGTTTCTCTACCGTCCTAGCTATCTGTATATTCAGTTTAGGGGTGCCTCTTTAAAATTTAAGAAAAATGAAAAGTAATTCTAAACTTATTCTTTTAAACAAATAAAACGATCAAAGAACAAACAGTTTCTGGATAAATAAATCAACCGGAAGCATCAAAAGCAGGTAACATAATCATAGTGCAACAACATTAGTTGCCTTTACTTTCTGTAGCTCAATTATCTACCATAGTTAATGAAATGTTGTTGAAACAATCAGCACCCAATAAAAAGAAAAATAGTTAACACATTATTTGTGTAGGAAAAAATGTTGCATTGTCCAAGTGATAAAAGAGTGTGTTGTCCATTAAGTAATTCCTCATTGAAGGCAATCAGCATCACTCAGATAACTAAAACCAACCTTGATTTTGGCTTGTCCGCGTCGATGGTGTCTGGGCTCTCATTTTTATCGTCTGACGGTGGAAACATCAAAAAAGGCATGAAAACAAGTTCAAGAAAAACAAAGGAGGTAAAGACAGGAAGTCAATATGGAATAAGATAATGTAGTGATACCAGAGATATCTTTGGCTTCTATAGTTCGAGAAAGCTTCTCCATGCTGATATAAGTAAAATATCTGATGAAAGAAGCCAACAAATCAGAATAGCATGTAAAATGTATCTGCTAATCGTAAATTTGAAATGCTAAGCTGATTAGAACAGGAAAACAGGAATGCAACCAACAGGATCAAGGGAGCAAACAGACAGAATTATATGAATTTTTATTGAAGTCTCTGAATATGGGAGTGTATGCTAAATAAGAAATTCCCCTACTTCCCTTCTCCTTAAAATCTCCTACTTTTACTCTACCAACCCC